TATAGAGATCCAATTCTCTATTGAGGTAGGGGTGGTTGTATGTTTATATTTTAGGTGTTTTAAAATCCTTTGGGGTTTAATATATATTGTATACATGCTTTTAATATGATAGTCTTGCATATTATAGGAAACCCTCACTTTTGACTTAGGGTTTATTGATTTAAGCATGTAAGATATGAATATACCATGTGTAGAAAGATCATGTGATTTAGTAGTATGCTAAATTCTAGTAATTTCACATGTGGTAGTAATATAGAACTCTTGTAGAACTATTAATGTTATAGACAATTTCTATTGACTTGAATTGTTATAATTATAGTGGTGATAATTCTATATTCTTGTTGATGATTAATTGTATTTATTTTAGAAGCTTACTACTATAATGTTGTAATCTAGTATATAAAGCTTATTGTTGAGGTATGGTTTAAATTGATAAGTTGGTGATATTGTTCTGCACATTATATCATGATGAGTACTTGTCATTTATTATGCAATTCTTGACTTGGAAGCCCTAAGACATGGTTTGTGTGGTTTCAAAATACTTGTGCATGGAAGGTGGTGTATATGCCTTAATAATTATGTATGAGTTTTGAATTTGCTATATTTTGGATTATCTTGGGACATTGTTACAAGTGACATGGCTAAAGTTTGGCTCTAGTGCGGGAGGTATGAGTTCTCTCCATTTATAGTGCACACTAGGGTGGTATTCCCAGCAGGTTAATGCCCGGAATAACCATTTAGGTCTTGGCTTTATCCAAGATTTGATGTCCAAGTATTCCACTAATTGATTTCGCATTAAATTCCAAGTTGGCAACCAATGTTTAATTGTAACTTGTAATTTTTGCTATTTGCGAATTGATGTTGTAAAGTACATCCATATTGATGTTGTGTTGCTAAAAAATATTTAAGTTAGCTTAAAATGATCCCTTAGAACACCTTGAAAATAGACGTTAAGTAGAATGCTCCCTTGTATTCGTTTATATTGATCTTGCAATGATATTGAAACTTTGGGGTATACGCATATACTTCTTTCTACGAGTAACTTGATTACTCACCCTAGTAGTTTGGGTTGTTTTACAGGTAAGGAGATAATGTTTTTGGATGCTCATCATCTTTAGAGGCTCATGAGCCATTTAAAGCATTTTTGTATAAGGACATGCACTTGTTTAGCATGCTTTACTTTTGGATGATATATTTTGTATGCCATGGATGTATGGTATTTTAGAAGCTAAGATACCTTCGTTCTTGTAATGTGTATCTAAGTACATTTGGAAGTGTTCATTTTGTAAGTATGACATGAGTCCAAGGGCCATTAACTTGAAAGGTTACAAGTATGTTTTCTTTAAAACTAAAGTATTGCCATTGTAGCTTATTTATAAGAATTTAAGGCTTAGTTTGCCAAAACTTGTAAATGTATTGTAATAAGGCCATAGGCCATTGTAGTACATCCATTTTATCATATTACATACACTTGTATGCTCACTTTAGCAAACAATACCCTTCTTGACGAAACAAAAAACTTAAGGTTGCATTTTTTTTTTTGAGTTTTAACCCTTTTCTGTTCCCAGGGCATTTCGGGTATTTCAAAGTGTGTTTTTTTCATTTTCGCCCACGTAGCTAAGTAGAAAACTCGATTTCCGGGGGGGGGGGGAGTTTCTTTGTGTTTTTCCAGAAAACATCATCTTGGCCCTTAAAAACCCATATTTTTCCGAAACATCCTTGCTGCCAGGTTTTTGTTGATTTTTAATACAAGTGTACTTGGTACTATTCATCGACTTTTTTTTGAAAAGTGTGACGACCGATCCAAAACTTCCGGGGATCTTATGGGTGTATTTTAAGATTACATTTTCAATTTAGGCAATTTAAAAACCTCCTGAAGCCATATTTCCTTTCCTTAGGCAGTAGTTAGGAATGATTTTTACCTTCTTGACCTGATTTTCTTGGGGGCATTTTGGGCATTTTATAATATATATATATATTTTTATTTCTTTCAATGCTGCTGGGTAGAAAAATTGATTTTAGGAGGGGTTTCTTCTTTGAGTTTTTCCAAAAAAGTCTGTTTAGATGCCCGTTTTTACTCTCAGTTGCAGCACTGTAGTTATCATGACCCTCTTTTTGTTTTTGACCTTTCTCCCTCGTCCGAACTCCAAATCGAGTAAACTTTTTTTTGAACTTGACTATTTTTTTGCTGTCTTTCCAACGGTGTACTTAGTTGTACCTGAATCATCCTATATAATTACCAATTTACCCTTTTTGCTTTATATATCCGTTTTTCTTTGTTTTGTCGTTTCTCCTTCGTCCGGACTCCGAATCATGCGATTCTTGAGTCCATCTTGATTAATTTTTTGTTGTCTTCCCAACGGTGTGCTCGGTGGCACCCGAGTTCATATTTTTAAAAAATTACCATTTTACCCCTGGGGGCTTATTTGTCATATTTCTGATCTATTGCTTCTGCATTTATGAGAGAAATTGCTGCTCAAATGAACTCATTAGAGTTCACCTTTTCAGAGTCATTCCTTGTACAATTCATACTTAACGCCATACTTGCTGAATATAGGCCATTCAAGATTTCTTATAACACACATAAGGAAAAATGGTTAATGAATGAATTACTTACCATGCGTGTTCAAAAGGGAGGGAGATTGAATCAGGAGAAACTAGAAAGTGCTCATTTAGCAACTCCTATAAAGGGAAATATCAAGAAAAATGGTGTGAAATTTAAGAAGAATGTGAATGCATCAACTAGCAAAGTTGATGATAAGGGTACCATTAAATGCTTCTTCTACAAAAAGAAAGGGCACATGAAAAAATATTATCCTAAGTATAATGTCTGGGACCAGGATCACCTCCAGTCCCACAGTGCCCCATTTACTCCATTTTAGGTAAATGAACAGTGTTTACCATGTTTGGTTAAAAAATATATTTTTGTAATACAGAATTTTTGTGTATATATGTATATATATATATACTGTTCAAGAATATACCCTTTTTGTTCCCTCCCTCATTTCTTCTTCCTCTTCCCTCCCTCATTTTAGGCGCCATTTGAAATAGAAATTAAATCCCACCACTAGCCTTCTTCTCTCCCAAAATATGAATGAAGCCATTTTAGAAATTTATTTTTTTCCAAATAGAATCCGGAAGCAGCGATTGTTGCGTGGATCAATCCAAAATTTGGATGCTACAAATTGTTTCTAAATAGAAGCAGCGCTTCTGTCAGTGGCAATAAAATTGTAGATTCTGATTTCCTTCCAAAAATGAAGTAGTAGTGTATTTCCAAAGCTAAGTAGGAGTGTATTTCTAAACCGAAGCAGGAGATCGCCTTATTTCAAACCCTAAGCAGGTACGATTCATAATTTTGAGATTTGATTTTGAAGGAAATCATCTTATTTCCATAAGAACTGAATGGCAGAAACAAATATAATGAGTAAGAATATCTAAACACAATTTTGGTAAAAAAACCCAGAAATAGAAAATTATTGGTGAATTTGAATTGATCTTTATTTTATTATGCAGTTATTAAGGGTTTTAATGTTTGTTTGTAAGGATAAAATATGAAATGATTTGTAGGGTACATGACTGGCTGGAAAAGAGTGTTTCAGAGTGTTACAATGTTAAGAAAATGTTTGGTTGTTGGGCTTGCATCACAACGTTTTCCTAAGTTGCATTGCAACTTTCTCCTAATAAGCATCCCAAATTCTTCCTTATCTACATTCCAATATTTTTGTAAAGTGAGTCATAACATTTTCCTAAGGTACATCCTAAAATTTTCGTAATATAAATCTCAAAGTATTTGTAAAGTGTATCCCAAAATTTTCTTAATGTAAATCCCAAAGATTTCGTAATTTACATCCCAACTTCTTGAAAAGGTAAATCCCAAATTTTTCCTAAGGTGAGTCCCAACTATTTTGTAAGGTGAATCCCAACTGTTTGCTAACGTAAATCCCAAATTTTACGTCATATTAATCCCAACATTTTCACAAAGTGTATGTGAAATTAGCATCAATTGGTTGGACATATATGTTCTGTTGTGGCTACAAGGATTTTTATCCTCGTTTGTCTGTGATATACTTGATTGATACACGCAAAGAAATGAATAAGATATATGTCAAATTTAATTTCTCATACATGTTAAAAGGTTTTTTATTTGATTGGTCATACATGTGAAAAGGTTTTGTATTTGAGTTGTTGAGATGGAATATACTTGAGATGTAGAAGTAAAATTATTTTTTGTTAATTCAATATTTTGTGCATATGTGAGAAAAGGTTTTGTTTTTGAGCCGTTTAGATGGAAGGTGAAGTAAATAATATTCAAGACACAACAAACGGACGAAACATTCATGTTGTAGAACCGGAAGTGATTAAATGGAAATCAAGGTATAAAATGGAGTTTGATAGTGAGGAAGAGGTATATGATTTTTACAATGCATATGGTGGTTGAATTGGTTTTAGCATCCAGAAGGAGTATGACAATAAAGTTAATGGAAGAGTTACATCAAAGGCGTTAGTTTGTAGCAAACAAGGTGTGAAGGCAAACGGATGTATTTAGAAAGACTCCCCGGGCTGAAACACAAACCAATTGCGGTGTACGAATGGTTCTTAGATATGATAAGACAAAGGTAAAGTACGTAGTTTCTAAATTTGTAAAAAGTCATAACCATCCATTCATAATTGCTGAATGCAGCCACATGATGCCATCCCAGCGACGAATTTCCTCAGTCCAGGCCATCGATGTTGAGTTGGCTGCGAATTCAGGAGTTTTGGCTTGTAATGCATATGAGTTGATGGGAAGGCAATCTGGTAGCAAAGAATTAGTTGGGTACTTGAAAGTGGATCTTAAAAATTATCTAAGGACGCGAAGACAAAAGGAGCTTCTTTATGGAAAGGCGGCATGGCTTGTGGATTATTTTGATATGCATGCTTGTGAAGATCCTTCGTTCTTCTATTCCTTACAACTGGATACTGAGCAAATGATTACGAACATATTCTGATCAGATTATAGAATGATCATTGATTACGGCCATTTTGGAGATGTTATCAGTTTCGACACAACGTATAAAGTGGTACACATCAATAGACCATTTGCAATTTTCTTGGGTATGAATCATCACCAGGAGACCATTGTGTTTGGAGCAGCCTTAATGTATTATAAGACAGCGGATTCATTTGTCTGGTTATTTGAAATGTTCTTGAAAGCAGTGGGTGGAAAAACACCAAAGACGATTATTACGGATCAAGACGCTACAATGGCGAAGGCATTAAAGCAGGTGAATAACTTTCATGCATCTCCATTCTTGTCACTTTCATGCTGAAACAATCGTATTATTTTAGTATTTTTTGGATTTGCAATATTGTAACACGGGTATTAAGTTAATTAATCTTGCAAGTCATGCCGGTGACGAAGTATCATTTATGTGTTAGGCACTTAATGAATAATGCGCAGAAGAACCTACTCTTTCTATTTAAACGCATTGAAGGAATAAAGAAGGCCATCTCAAAATTAATGTTCCAAATTGAGGAGGAGGATGATTTTATCAGGGAATGGGATTTAATGATTACAAAATATGGTGTTGCTGGTAATAAGTGGCTTTCCACTTTATTAGATTTGAGACATAAATGGACCCTTGTCAAACACGACTGGTCTGCAGGAATGAGTAACACGCAATTGAGTGAAAGCTTCAATGGTCAATTAAAGTATTACCTTTCCAGACAACTTATTCTACCAGAATTCTTCACACACTTTGACAGATTGTTGTCGGACGAGCGGTACAAGGAGCATGAAGCCGAGTATGGCTTTGTGGAGAGGCAACCGGAACTAAAAATAAAGTGCCACATATTACGTCAAGCGGGGAAGGTGTACACGAAATCAATATTTTAGCTTTTCTAGGAGGAGTTTTTAGCTGCTCTTGTGAGTCAGGCTGTTATTAGTTGTAGTGACTTGGATAACAATGGACACCATGTTTATAAAGTTGCTGTTGAGGACGGGGTGCAACGTCGTGTGAGCAGGATATTTAAAGATGAATTGTCATGCTCATGTTGTAAATTTGAAAGAGAGGGTTATTTGTATAGGCACAGTTTGAAAATCTTTAAAGACTGCATGTTTATTAATGAGTTGCCTTCCTGATATATAATAAAAAGGTGGACTAGAAATGCTAGAGATGGCGGGTTGGAGGAAATTGTTTCCATCGACCTGAATCCGGATCCTCAACTTGAGATTAGGCAATGGCATAGGACACTTTGCCGTATACTGACTGAAATATTTTCCATTGCATCGCACGATCCCGAAGGATATAATGATCTATTAGAAAAAACAATGGACCGGAAAACAACAATACAAATAAGTTGTGGTTATAGGTTTACAAAGAAAATTGCAAGGGGTAAGGGAAAAAAAGGGTGAAAAGTAGCAGTGGAACAATTCCCATGTCCCTGAAAGTTAAAGATACCTCTAAAGGACGATTTAAGAGGCTGAAACTAGCCATAGAGTTAAATAGTGGGAAAAGGAGGAAGTCAACGAAAGCAACAGGCCAGGTATATGTTCCTGTAGCATGCACTACTATTTCATTGTTTAACTATTTGAAAATGCAAACAAAATAAATTCGATTTCATAACATTATATCCTTCGCCATAAAACGCTCGTGAGTGGAAGAAACTAAATTTTTTTATGTTTTAGATATCAAATAAAATCGTTGTTTTAGGAGATGCTGGTGCAGCGATAGTCCGTCAACCCCGTCTTACATGTTAGTGAATGTGAGTATTATTGCAAGTATATTTTATGTAAGCAGTTACTATTCATGACTGTTGGTTAACACGTTGATTATGTTTAAAAGTACATTGACAGTGTTTATATGAAATATTTTAGGATGCAGAAATTCCCGTCCAATTTCTGAATGAAGAATCTTATGTAACACCACCAGCTGTATTCCACATCAGGCAGCTTAATATTGGTGAACCATGTACTTCATCAACTAACCATGTAAGTGTGTTAATTAAGATGTATTATTTTCTTTGTTTTTCCAAAATAGACCATTTTTTTTTTTACATCTAAACAATATATTACAAAGGTCACATGGGACATATCCCACACCAAACTCTACCCAGACCAGGCAACATCAGAAAAAGTCACACTAAAACCTAATACAAAACATTGATGTAGATCAGTTGGAATATTATCCATTTTCCGTTGACCTGCAGCAATAAAATCCCAAAACTCTTGATCAAAAACTGTATGTGATTAAAAAATTGACATCATTTTACCATCACACCAAGGATGAAGAAAAATGTTGATGTCAGTTCCTTTTCCAATAACATACTTACAGTTGATCTTCATGAAGTCCCCCGAATAGCAACTATACTATTCCATATAGAAGAATTTGAAACCTTTGGAATGACCTACCAAAAGGATGTATTCCTTAGGTAACATGAACAGTGTTTATACCCAACCACCGAAATCCTATCTTTGGACAGTAAATAATTCGAAGCTAATACACAGTTTTCAGGTAAATCAATATCCAAAACTCTTCTCACCCCTAAACCACCTTCTTCTTTAGGAGTAGCAAGCTTCGTCCATTTTAAATTCCTCGTATCTTCATAATATCTTTAGCATGCCCCAAAATGAAGTTCCTCATTGTCTTTCATGTGCCCATAATCATGTAAAAATTCCCTTCTGCATCCTGAATGACAGTGATATTGGATCGAGCCGTATGCTCTTTAATTTGCTGATGTAAAACCCTTCTGTACCTGTCTTGGCCTTTCATCTATCTAATTCTTGTCTTATGAGACAGAAGAATTGCTTCATTAGAGCTAGCACATTCAAATTTCTGTCTAATATCCTATTCCTCAATGAAAACATCATTCATAGGATTCTCAGCTAAACTCAATTGCACTTACTCAAGAGACTTCCTAATACCAATAACCTCCTCAAAAACAGACCCAAACTTTACAAAAATTCCATTTTTTATAGCCCTTTTAACCAATGTATTCCCATGACTATTAATCAGAGATAATGTTGCCATGACTATTAATCAGAGATAATGTTGCCAGCCACTGCCTGTTTATTCTAAACCAACAAAAATCCGAAAGGCTTTGGACGTTCACCAATGTGCAAATGAAATTTCACTTTAAGCCCCTTATGATCTGAAATGAATGTTATAGAGTAAGAATAATATGTGAACTTAGAAATACATTATCCCAATCCTGGTTCATAAGACCTCGATCCAGCGTTGCATAAGCTCTTCTCTGACTAAACCTTTTACTACCCCATGTAAATTATCCATTATCCATTATCCACTGGAATATGAGATAAACAAAGCTGATCAATGGTATGGTTAAAATCATATAGCAGTGAATTATGGGGGTTGCCTAAGGCCTCCCTTCTTCCTACCTTAATATGCATTGTCAACAATATAAATGTTTCAAGCTAATATTGGCGATCCAGCCATGTTGTCATCTCAATTGTTTAGTACGCCCTCTTCATATGATGAATCAAGTGCTCATCGTTTGGGAGGTGATGAGGTAATCATTTATTCATTCTCCACTAATTTTTTGTCATTGTTCTCATTATAGTAACACATATAACAGTTTACAAAAATTATTTGGATTACATTTATTGTCGTTGTGGTTAATTGTAGACACCTGGGTAAGCAAATGTGACACCAATATCTCGAATGGCAATGACGTTGGGGATGAATCATCCAATTCAGTATTGACTCTTTGAATATTGAGAAGAAACTTGTCATGTAATTGACTTTTCATTGATTGTGTGTATCCTTGTAACCTTTTGTACTTCTTGTACAAAGTTTATAGCCTACTTCGGCTGCCCCTATTACCTTTAGCTGTCATGTAATTGACCTTGTATTCATTGTGTGCATGCTTGTAACGTTTTCCACATGTTGAGTATCACCGTGTTTTGTAAATTCACTGTTCGAACATTACAAAATGTATGTCTTATTTTGGGTATGACTATGTTTTGGAAGCAGGAAATACATAGGAGGATCACTGTCAAATTGGATAGAGTGTTTGTTCACACATGTTAATGTAACCCAAGCTACTTAAAGCATAAAAAATGTACCAATCAAACACTGAGACCAACAATGGACTCTTGGCTTAGGCATTGGCAAATGTTAACCCTTTGTCCTGGGTTCGAGTCTCAGTATGAATGAGTGGCAAGTTCGTAAAAGAGGTATTCTAAAATACCTCATTTTTCATCTAATTATTTTTTTTGAAGGCCTGTTGTACAAAACATTACAAGGTAGGACAACAATAAAGTAATGTGTAGAAAACATTCCTACATTGTTTTACCTACATGGATCAAAGACATCAATCAATATAATATGTAAATATAATCTCAACACAATAATAAATGTGTACTTGGGTATTTGAATATTAATTCATGGATTCGATAGACTGTTTGTTCAGAAATATTAATGTAACTCAAGCTACTTAAAGCATAAAAAATATACTAATGAAACACTGAGACCAACAATGGGCTTTTGGCTTAGGTGTAATGACCCGGTCATTTTCCTTTCTTTCTTTTTTCGGCAAATTTCTTTTTTTGTCTTTTTCTCGTTTACCATTTTTCTTGCATAACCTCACTTTTTGTGCTCGGATTTGATTCCGGCCTTGCATATATCCATGATATTTAAATTCCATGATATCTACATTTTTACTTTTGTAGAAAAGCATGTTAAATGTTTACTTTTCTTGTAAAGGGCATGGATGCATAACCTTTTGGTAATTTTTCATAACTTGAGGGGTTTTCATGTAATTATGAAAAGTAATTATTTTTCGTCTTAGGGACCTTTTTACAATTTAATTTATAAGATATTTTGAAAAAGGACCTTTTTGCAAATTCTGAAAAATGTGACAAGTGTCACTTTCCTATGGTGCCACTTATTGGTTTTATGGTGGAACCACTTGGAGACTTAATTCCTTGACATTTGGAGGGTGGAGATTCACCCACTTGTTGGCCTAGGATTGGAGTACTTGTTGGCTTAGATGGTTGACAAGTGTAGGCTTAAGATTAAGCCTAGGAATGAGCCATTGATTTGTGACAAGTGTAGGCATCAAAATAAGTCTTGCATTTGTGTGTGTGTGAGAGGTAGTGTAAGAGCACATAGTGAGTGGAGGAATGCTAAATCCTCCACTCACCTCACTTTATTGTATCATCCTCACCACTTTACTCTCAAGCCCTTACCTAACCTCTATGGAAGGAAAAGCTTGACCAATAGCTTTGACTTCATTTTTGGCCTCCTTCCACTCACCCTAGACATAAAGCTTGGAATACAAAAGCTTTGCCTCACCTTCCTCTTCATAACCCTAGAAGGAAAACTTGAAATTCCTTTGTTTCCCTTGGATTCAAAAGGAACAATCCTCTTGTGAGGTAGGGGTGGTTGTGTGTTTATCCTCTTTGGGTTTTATTTATATTGGAGCTTGATATATATCGATTACATGCTTTTTAAATTCTTGTATTTGCATATAAATAGAGATTTATTATACTTGACTTAGGACTTGTGAATAAAGCATGTATATAACTAGTAAATGGAATAGGTAAATTATTGTTTAATGACTTGCCTAATACTTGTGATTTCATTGAGGGTTTATTATGAATATCTTGAAATTGCACTTATGTTGTTAAGTAAATGGAGATTTCATTGAGAGTCTAGTATGAAAATCTTGTATATAGCATTTATCATTACTTGTAGGTAAATTACTATATTGCATGATTAGTAATTATGGCCTACATTAATATTAAATTCATATGGCATAATGTGTAGTAACATTAGCTTGCCACTTTAGACATGCAACCTTAGGGCATGGTTTGTGTGGTTTTACCCTACTTGTGCTTGGTAGGTAGTTTTATGCATTGAGATTATATAAATGTCATGAACTTGTTGATATTTGGAAGCTTGTAAGGATATGAAATGTTTGATGGCTACGGTTTGGCTCTAGTATGGAGGGTAAGAATTCTCTTATGTCATAGTGCGCATTAGGTAGTACCTTGTGGGTCGTAATTACCCAAAATAACTTGTATGGTCTCGTAGCCACATATCCTAGTCTTTCTATTATTTGATTTCACATTACTTTCCAAGTTGTAAATCATGGATTTCTTGTAGCTTGTGATTTGGTAATCTTAGTTTAAATGCGGTTAGTGTACTTGTTCACGTATACTTGGATGCTATGTGTTTATTATTTCAAACATTTGTATAGCTTGAGATGATCCCTTAGAGTACCTTAAAAACATAGACGTTAGGTGGAATGCACCCTTGTAATGATCTATGTTTGGTTCACATTATACTTGAAACTATAGGGTATGCGCATGCATTACATCCTACGAGTAACTTGATTACTCACCCTAGTTGTTTGGGTTGTTTTACAGGTAAAGAGACTTTGTTTTGGGATGCATCACATCCCTACATTGTTTTGATGCCTTGAAGTACTTCGTTGTATTTTTGAAAACATGCAAGTGTTAGCATGTAGTATCATTTTGGTGTAAAATGCTATTTTTGCCTTGAAATATGTAATGTGTGCCTAAGTACACTTTTTGATACTTGTTTTATATGTATAACATGAAGCTAAGGGCCATTAACTTGATGTTCACAAACATGTTCTAAAATTTCAAGTATTGTAAATATAGCCTATTGTGAAAATTAGAGGTTTGACATGTCAAAAATTGTAATTGAGTTGTAACGAGGCTGTAGGCCATTGTAGCACGTCTACTACATCATTTTACGTTTGCGTGCATGCTCACATCTCACAAAACTCTTAAGTTTTGATTTTTGAACTAATTATGGATAAATTATGGATTTTTATAAAAGAGTTCATGCATTGGAGTAGGTTTTAAGTTCTCTTTTGTTTTAGCATGTTAGGGATGCTCCTTTGAGACAAAGGAACGTTTTTAAGCATGTACGGATCATATGGGATGTATGCATAACCTTAGAATTGAACCAAGGACCTTCTTTCTAGCATTGTAGCAGCTTTTCAAGGTGTTTAGGTCGACCGATGGCTTTTGGAAGCTTTAATGTATAGTATATAATCAATTCCAGTAGCCATTTTTACTGTTCTGGGTCATTTCGGTCGACCGATGGCCTATTTCGGTCGACTGGTGCCTCAATTCGGTCTATCGAACCAACCAACCCTCAAAAACATGAATTTAGAAAAGTTTCTGTGAGTTTCAGTCGACTAAAACTCTATTTTGGTAGACCGAAATAGCCCTCATACCCCAGTTTTCCAGACTTGGTTTCAGCACTAAAGTTCCAACTTCAAACAATCATAACTTCTTCATTTCTAATCCAAATGGGGTGATCCTTGAGCCTAAACTCAAGGGTTTTGAGTCAGATTTCCAATGATACCAATCCTATTCTCAGATTCAAATCACAGTGGGAGTTATTAATGTTTTAGTGGGACAGTGTCAGTTGTCACTTAAATTGGGAAAAGGGCATTTTGTGGGATTTTTGGCCAATGTTCTTGGAACCTCTTGGAATGTTGTGAAATGATTAGATTAGGTTGTATTCACCTTGTTTAACTTGTTTAGAGTCAATTTTCCCCTTTTTAATTGTGAATTGACTACTTTGCCATTAATTAACGGATTTAGCTCGTTTTGACACTAGTTTCCTCATTCGCTATTCTTCAGTTCCGTGGCTTCATGGAATGTCACATTGGTGTCTTAGAGATAATTTATATCTCAAAGGACATTGGTTTCATCTTTTGCTTCCGCATTTTGAATCCATTATCGGGTTAACTTTCAGGTCATCACTGACGCACCGGGTTGAAAAACTTGGGTCACGACATTAGGTGTTAGCAAATGTTGACCCTTTGTCCTGGGTTCGAGTCTCAGTATGAATGAATGGCAAGTTCAGAAAAGAAGTATTCTAAAATACCTCCTTTTTCATTTAATTATTTTTTTTGAGGGCCTGTAGTACAAAACATTACAAGGTAGGACAACAGTAAAGTAATGTGTAGAAAACATTCCTATATTGTTTTACCTATATGGATCAAAGACATCAATCAATATAATATGTAAATATAATCCTAACACAATAATAAATGTGTATTGGGGTAGTTGAATATTAATTCATGGATTCGATAGACTGTTTGTTCAGACATATTAATGTAACTCAAGCTACTTAAAGCATAAAAAATGCACCAATGAAACACTGAGACCAACAATGGGCTCTTGGCTTAGGTGTTGGCAAATGTTAACCCTTTGTCCTGGGTTCGAGTCCCAGTACCATCGACTGGCAAGTTTTGTACAATAAGAGGTATTCTAAAATACCTCATTTTTTTTTTTTTAAATAATTTTTTTCTACAAAACATTACAAGGTAGGACAAAAATAAAGTAATATGTAGAAAACATTCCTACAATGTTTTACCTACATGGATCAAAGACATGTTGAATCATTTATGTCGGCAATTGTAAGTGGACAATAGCAAATGGTTGTACAAAAATTCACCCCAATTTTAACAATCACCTTTGCACAAGTTTCACTATGTTACTTGAAGGATAAAAAATGTACCAATCAAACACTGAGACCAAGAATGGACTATTGGCTTAGGTGTTGCCGCATGTTGACCCACTGCCACCTACAGCGCCACCACTTCTACTATAAATATATGTCATGAGTAGTGTTAGAAGCACCCACAAGAAAATATCTTCCTCTAGGCCAACCAATGGTGCGCTACCAAACCATGGAAGACGCATAGCTAGCCCCAATTACCCCACCTTCAGTCCCATTTCTGTGCGTCAAGCACCTTCTATTGTAGATCCTTCCCCTACCCTGTAATACCTTATTATGTAGATAATTTCAAAAGTGACCTGACTCGCCTGTTGAGTATGGTGAGGAGGGTGGATCGGCGCATGAAGAGGCTTAAAGCGCTGTGGAATGACAAGTCTGATGACCAGGTCTTGGAAGTTCTCAACTCCTCTGACGCCACAAGCAACGACGGAACCTTAGGAAGGACGGTTGTTTTGAAGGCGGCTGGTTGTGAAGGACCCCTTATCGATGTGTAGAAGTTTGGTGTGAAGGAGTATTTGGAAGGTTCTCTATTTTTCTGTGTTAGGTTTGGACCTTCTATGTATGTTTATATGATGGTGTTTTTTTGTATGTTTTTTGTGTAAAAATTATGTGTATGATGTACGATATTAAATGATATATGAAGCCATATATATTTAGAAATGAATGTTACTTGTTATGCATTGTGAACATTACTATACAAAGCCATATATATGTATAAATTCACGTTACTATATATATGCATGGGGGCAGTGTGAAAAAAAATGATGAATAAGAATAATATTGGACAAGTGATGAGGAAAAAGGAAAGAAAAATTACATATGTATGATGGCTTAAATTGTGACTAAACTACCATAAATGGGGAGTTAAATGGTGACAATTTGGTACTTAAACTGATAAGAAATAGCTGTCAATTCGCAATCACTCCAAAATCTCTACCATTAAACCCGTCATAATTGTAATTTCTCTCATTAAGCCATAAATATGAAGCCATACATATGCATGGGAGCGCAGGGTGAACATGACAGAGTAGTGAAGCCATAAATATGAAGGCAGATATATGATCGACCAAATTTAAACACTCACCTTTGCTCAAGAGTCTGTATGGTACTTAAACAATAAAAAATGTACCAATCGAACACTGAAAGCAACAATAGACTCTTGGTTTAGGTGTTGGCAAATGTTGACCCTTTGTCCTGGGTTCAACTCTAAGTACCATCGACTGGCAGGTAGGGAAAGAGGTATTCTAAAATACCTCCTTTTTGTTTTTATTTTTATTTTTTTTATTTTTGTAGAAAACATGACAAGGTAAGACAAAAATAAACTAATGTGTAGAAAACATTCCTACATTGTTTTACCAACATGGATCAAAAACATGAATCATTGACCCTTTGCCTTGGGTTCCAGTCTCAGTATCCTTAGCTGCCAACCTCTAAAAAGAGGTATTCTAAAATACCTCCTTCTTGTCGATTTTTTTGGTAAATGAAAGGCAAGGATATAAGTTTATAGATATAATACAACTTATATCAATTCAAAAAAAAATATGTCCGAAATTATTTTCTTCAAATTTAGATATAAAATTTTATGAAATATAAAATAAAGACTATATATATTTAGGATATGAGACTAACAAGGCAACTACTTCATTCTGCCTGAACTTATACATAATAGTACACAATATCTCAATAAGTACGTAACAAAATAGAAGAAGTACGTACATAAAATCTCAACTACTACAAACATAAAATCAATTAATTTGTATTATCAATCCTAAGAATTGGGGTAGTTGAATTTTTTATTCATGGATTGGCTTATAAACATAAAACAGTTCAACCACCAGTCCCACCCATAGTGCCATGACTTATGCTATAAATATATGTGCTGAGTAGTGTTCCAAGCACCCACGAACATCATGTCTTCCTCTAGGCCAAGAAGCAATGGTGCACTACCAAACCACAGACCAAGCAGACCCAGCCCCAATTACCCCACTTTCAGTCCTTTCTCTGTTCGTCAAGCACCCATTGGTCTAGATCCTCCCCCTACGCTGCAATACTTGATTATGCGAATTGACAATTATGGGACTAACCTCACTCGCCTCTGGAGGTTGGTGACGAGGGTGGAACGGTGCCTGAGGAGGCTTGAAGAGCTGTGGAACTCTGAGTCTGAGGACGATATGGTTGTCGAATTTTTTAACTCTTCTGACGCCACAAGTGACGATGGAACTTGAGGAACGACGAAGGATTTCGCAAGACCCTTTCTGCCTGGTTGTGAAGGAATGTTTGGGAGGGGGGTGGGTGTCCTTTTGTATGTGCAGAAGTTAGATGTGATGTAGTTTTTGGAAGGTTCATAACCTATGTTGCTGGGTTAAGTTTGGACATTGTATGTTTGTTTATATTATGGTGTTTTCTTTTTTGTGTAAGAAATATGTATGTATGATGTGTGATGTTCAATGAAATACGAAGCCATATATATTTAAAAGTTGACGTAAAAATATATATATATGCATGGAGGCAGTGTTCAGAAAAATGAAGGCAAATAACCATATTCTGTCGTCCAAGAGGAAAAAGGAAAGAAAAATGACACATACGAGATGCCTTAAATTATGACGAAACTATTATAAATGGGGAGTTAAATGGCAACTACTTCTGACTTAAATGGATTAAAAATGGGTGTTAATTTGCAGTGACTCCAAATCCCGGCCCATTAGGGTACAGCAGTTGAGGAGGACATTTGACAATTTATTGAAGTATTAATTAGGATTACTACTAATTAGGTAATCTTTTGTGGATTGATTGATTAGGTCCGGGTCTTTATTTGGACTATTAATTTCTATTAACTATGATAAACAATACATATAATTCATAAACAATATATATAAGTCGTTTATTTTTATTGTATTTGGTAAATTAAAGGCAAGAATATAAGTTCATTATCCAACTTGTATAATTCATATCAATTAATCTCAGTATCTGCGAAATTATGTATTTCAAATTTAGATTGAAATTATTAAGTCATATATAATTAAGAGTATATATTTATGATATATGACACCAACAAGGCAACTATATAAATCTGGCTTAGACATATATATTGTGCATTACATCCCAATAAATACGTATATTAATTAATATAATTCATAGTAAGTATCCTAACATAATCCCAAGCCAAATCCCTTGAAGGTAACCAACATAAATTTGCATCATATATAGATCCGTCTGAAATGAAAACTACAAACATATAGTAGTCTGCTTAATACATCATAATTCCCAACAACCCCAATAACATTTCACTTTCTTTTGGATGTACTACTCCTTGGCGGTGGAATTTCAAAGTCATCATCTCCGGAGTCAGAAAAATCTGACAAATCATAATCCGATTTTAGGTCTGGCTCAATCATAATTTTTTCAACCACTTCATCCGGATCCTCGTATGTGTTCATCGCTTTTGTCAGTTTCTTCATCTTACGCCATCTTACATTTAATTGACGGATCTCACGTTTAAGTTGGACAATGACAGATTCTATATCTGTGGCATTCGACTCTTGCATTTCAAGATGCTGTGCTTTAGGAATAGTCACCCCGAGTCGTCTGCACTCTTCCACAGTCACACTCCTTACACCCACCAACTCGTTATACCTGATACGTTGTTAAGGTTGAACTGGTTGATTGACATCTACTGGTTCGACTTGAGAGTTTGACGTGGACCCAAGCTCATGCATGTGCCATCGATGAACTGCTTCAACGGCCTCTGCATGGCTATGGTAAGGATAATACTTGCCATTAGGAAACCCTCGCGTCTGTGCTATTGCTTTTGCCCGGTTCGTGTATATCCTTACTTTTTGACCAATAAAAATAATGTAATATCGATGTCCAGCCATTGATGTGGACAAACTTGGTGTATGGGTTTCGTTGGATTGGCCCTAGGGTACTGTAATGACCCGATCATTTTCCTTCCTTTCCTTTTTTCTGAAATTTTACGGATAAATTTTTTCCGTTTAATTTTCTTTTCTGAGTTCTATTTCTCATCATTTAGTGTCATCTCGAGTGCTTGGAAATTGTTTTCAAGAATCTTTTGTTTGGATTGACAACTTCCTTTAAGACTGAGTCATTTCCACATTTTCACTTTTCGGACACTATTCACTTTTCGTCCTTTTTCTAATTTTGTCTTTTCTCCATTTGTCACTTTTTGGCACAACCTCACTTTTCATGCTCGGAGTTGGTTTTCGACTTCACATATCTTCATTCTAAGTGGTTTCCACGAAATACGTATCTTTACTTTTGTAGAAAAGTACTCTGGTTGCTCCTAGTGTCCATAGGGGCATGGATGCACAGTTCTTCAGAATCTTTTTCTTTTTTTGGGGTGTTTTTCGTAAATATCTTTTGAAGATATTTTATTTCAATGGTTTTTAAGAAAATATTTTTGAAAGATATTTTCATTCTGGGCTATTAGTGCAGTTTTCACTTTTTGGAAGGGCCATTGTGCAATTAACGAAAGTTATTGCAAAATACCTCGTTTTGAGCCTGGATCCTTGTACGGGATTCATTTTCACATTTCATCGAGTTGTGTACTCTTAGAATTTCTTTCTGGTCGTTTTTCTCTAGTTTTAGGGTTTTTGGACCCGTTTGCCGCCGAACTTGTTCAGGGCATATCTCTCTGCTCGGTACTTAGTTTTTAACATTGTTTCTTCCGTTATTCATATTTTCTCATCTTGGTTCTTTTTAATTCATGGAGTTTTACCGTTTGAGCGCGTCTGCTCAAATTCCACTTTTCTAGACTTGGCGGGGCCCTTTCGAGGCACTGTTAGGGTTTTCCTATGAATAGGATGTCTTAAAGTGAAAAGTCACTTTTCCATCATCTTCTTCCCCCTCTTGGTCGGCAGCTATGGGAGCCCAAGGGGCTTTCTTTACTCTTTCTTCTCCTCCACTTGATTTCCTTGGTAGAAAGTCTTCGGCATTGACATTTATCATAGGCCTCGTCGTGCTCTACCTTTCCCCCTTATTAGAACCCGTTTTTGACCAAATTTTGAGTTCAGGTTTGAAGTCAGGTTGTGATATTCATGAGGCTTCCTTGGGATTTTTGTTCATCGTGTTATCCCCTATAAAACCCCGAAGTATCGTCGGATTCGGAACACTTTTCTTTCGGTGGGAATTTGAGATTTTCATCTCAAATTGAGGTAGGGGCTATTATAGTTTATATTCTTGATGTATTGCATGCTATTAATGCTTATATAATTTGTATGCTTGCTTTTGTTCAAGACCTAGAAATTTATTTAAATTTGATTTAAATTATACTTAATTGTACCTTGTTTTTTTTATTATTATTTTTTTATTTTTATTTTTTATAATTTTGACTTGATATATGACATGGCCATGATTTAATCCATGATATATATTAATTTGAGATCATTTGAATAACCTTTGAAATCTAGAGATTTAATTAATTTTAAATTAATTAAATTATACATGTTCATATCTTGCTTATTTTGCACTTTTGATT